TGATTTTGATTATTTCTAATATATCGCGTGTGTTCCAGATTTACGTTAAGGAGTTATATGCATGTTGTGCCTTTACTATTATTTTTTCTACATCTGATCTACTACCAATTTTTTTTTTATAATTGATCCCAGATATAATCATTATCATCATCACCAGATTACATTGGAGTATTTTGCAAGCTTGTCGATCTTCTTCTGCATATGGTTGCTATGTTCGGTTAGGAGACCTGTTTAATACCTGTTTTTTATCGCTTACTTTCTCCATGATCCAATCCGTTATAATTAGGAATAGTGTCGGAGATAGAACGTTTCCTTGTTTAACTTCACTTTGGATAGTTATATTCTGTAGTTATTATTGAGCTTGTAAAGCTTGAAAAACAGCCACATATGAAGCAGAAAATTTGCTTTTTCGTCAAAACCATACACCGTAGCATAAGTCGATCGTCACACTAAGAAAAGTACTAGAATTTCTTCTGCAGTTATCTCATTATTTATATTTAGTACCCTACAACTACGGACGGTAAACATCGAATTGTTAAAGCGGGATTGGAATCAGTGTATCGCCCTAGTATGAGATTATGTTAATAAATAAGATTAAATTTCACGTAAAATTTGTTTTGTTTTATTTGCTAGGCATGTAACTTGTGAGTGAAATGATATATGGATACGTGTTCTTTAATACCACCAACTATAAGTTAGCTGGACGCATGAGAAAGTAATAACGTCACATGTTAGTTTAAGATTGAATTAAAGAGCAAGTTTCAAATATCGATCCGTCTTAGACACGCTGCGTAGTGGTCGACCTTGCACGGTAGAAGACAACATACGATTTGCTGCTGAACCATCATTGTTATCATATACTTTGGGTAATGTTTACATGCGCTAAGCCGACCCTAATCCTGGACTGAAATTATGCGAATGATATATACTGATCGATTGCGCAACAAAATTTTACCTGCAAATTTTATGGAATGATGAAGATCTCAAATTAAAGGGGCCGATTAACCAATACAAACACAATTAAATATATTAGGCATTTAAAAATCCTCATAAAACTATTACCAAAGAGTTGAATCCTCTTGAAATGATAATTTGGCAGGATTCGGCGCTAACAAGACATCGCTGTCTTCCACTTCAGACCAACAGTTCGTAAATATTTGAATGCTGAATTTGTAATGGGAATAAAAAGAAGAGAAAGAATCGTATGCTTACACGGCCATCAGACTTAAGGCCTGCCTAAAAGACTCAAAATAAAAAGTTTGCCACCATGGCATTTGCTTTGAACCTTTCAAAAAAAAATCCAAGCCCTGTCTGGACAAACAGAATAAAATTAAAACTGGTTCAAATCAGTACTAAAACAGTATAAACGGATTAACTACTTTTTTGTTAATCGCCTGAGTATAGGACCCGATATCCTATCCCCATTTTTATTATTACTTTCTCATGCACCTATATCGATTTTAATATCTTGCTTTAAAACCATTATTACCACGAAATGAGCTCTATAACTGGTTAACTTTTTTAAATATATATAAAAATTACCTAGAGTATTATTTAGCATATTTCACTACCGTAAACCTTGGCACCTGCTCAAAGTTGTCACATAAATTAATATTGTAAAATACTGTATCACAAACTACATATAAGTACTACGATTATTGGTAATTTAAAATGTTTAGTCATGAAGGTTTGGTTATGTCAGATTTACATAATTTGTACAATATATCTCAATGAGTTATCTATAAATAGACAGCAAATTTATAATTTAAATTCAACTATTTGGATTATATCTTTTTCTTCACGAGTCACTTAATTTGATGTAGCTCGGTAATCTGCGTAAGTATTCTGTATATGTGTATTTGATGTTTCTCGTATATCCCGAATGACAGTGTAGAAGATCTATACTATCTAAATTACTACTCCGTGGTTAACCATTGCCTTGGTAAAGATGA